AAAAAAAAAAAAAAAAAAAAAAAAAGAGATGATGCCATTAAGGAGGCTTAACTCAGAAGCAGTGATCCAGGAAACTTGGCCACCAGAGTTTACCAAGCTCCTACAGTGACCAAGTTCCAGAATTAGGCCGAGATCAACTATCTATTCCCTTTAAAAAAAAAAAAATTACTATACTCCCAGGGACAAGAACAACTGACCCGGGGATGACGCTCGGACACGGAATCTACCAATAAAGTTTTTCCTGTTCAGGCTCCAAACTAACCCCAATGCGCATGCCCGCTGTTCACGTGGCACGGTCGGGCGTATCCCTCCACCTCCCCGGCGCCGCCCGGCGCCAATCCCGGCCGAGTCTCTCACAGTGCGCATGCGCCTACCGTATCGTTATCGACGTCTCCGAGGCAGATGGCGTGCGGGAAGAGGCTCCCGCTGAAGTCCAGCGCCACGCGCTGCACGTAGCTCACCGACCTCATGGCGAGTCCTAGGGCCGAGGGATCGCGAGCCCTCCTCGGCGTTCCCCGGGCCCCCTCCCAACAGCCGTCCGAGCGGAAGGCCGCCCGAAGCGGAAATTTACGACACCGCCCGGACCGCCAATCCCTGCCTCCTCTTAACCTGGGCGGGGAGGCGGGCCTTCCGGGCCTGGGGGCGGGCTTACCATGGGTCTGATGAGAGTGGCAGGGCTGCGGGCCAATCCTTTTCTCACTAGGGCGGCCGCTCCTGGGTAGACCGACCCTGACGTGGCCAAGCTTTTCCCTTGGCCACAGGGCTCTGTGGGGCTTGACCTACTAACCTTGACCTTTTTCCTTTGTTGCCCCGGCAACGAAGAGTTCGAGCCATCGCACCGTCCCTGAGAATCACAGTAATAGTCTTATTCACTGACAATTGTGTGGTTTCCAACAGTGTTAAAAAAAAACAACACGAATTACCCTTTAAGGAGTCGTGAAAACCATGTAGTGGCTTGCAGCCAGCATATGAAAAACATTAAACAGGCCGGGGTGGGTGGCTCAGCCTATCATCCCAGCACTTTGGGAGCCCACGGGTTCGAGACCGGCCCTGGCAACTTGGCGAGACCGCGCCTCTACAATAAATTTTTAAAAATTGGCCGGGCTCGGTGGCTCGGCCTGTAATCCCAGCACTTTGGGAGGCCGAGGCGAGTGGATGGCCTGACCCTGCGGGTTCGAGACCGGCCCTGGCAACTTGGCGAGACCGCGCCTCTACAATAAATTTTTAAAAATTGGCCGGGCTCGGTGGCTCGGCCTGTAATCCCAGCACTTTGGGAGGCCGAGGCGAGTGGATGGCCTGACCCTGCGGGTTCGAGACCGGCCCTGGCAACTTGGCGAGACCGCGCCTCTACAATAAATTTTTAAAAATTGGCCGGGCTCGGTGGCTCGGCCTGTAATCCCAGCACTTTGGGAGGCCGAGGCGAGTGGATGGCCTGACCCTGCGGGTTCGAGACCGGCCCTGGCAACTTGGCGAGACCGCGCCTCTACAATAAATTTTTAAAAATTGGCCGGGCTCGGTGGCTCGGCCTGTAATCCCAGCACTTTGGGAGGCCGAGGCGAGTGGATGGCCTGACCCTGCGGGTTCGAGACCGGCCCTGGCAACTTGGCGAGACCGCGCCTCTACAATAAATTTTTAAAAATTGGCCGGGCTCGGTGGCTCGGCCTGTAATCCCAGCACTTTGGGAGGCCGAGGCGAGTGGATGGCCTGACCCTGCGGGTTCGAGACCGGCCCTGGCAACTTGGCGAGACCGCGCCTCTACAATAAATTTTTAAAAATTGGCCGGGCTCGGTGGCTCGGCCTGTAATCCCAGCACTTTGGGAGGCCGAGGCGAGTGGATGGCCTGACCCTGCGGGTTCGAGACCGGCCCTGGCAACTTGGCGAGACCGCGCCTCTACAATAAATTTTTAAAAATTGGCCGGGCTCGGTGGCTCGGCCTGTAATCCCAGCACTTTGGGAGGCCGAGGCGAGTGGATGGCCTGACCCTGCGGGTTCGAGACCGGCCCTGGCAACTTGGCGAGACCGCGCCTCTACAATAAATTTTTAAAAATTGGCCGGGCTCGGTGGCTCGGCCTGTAATCCCAGCACTTTGGGAGGCCGAGGCGAGTGGATGGCCTGACCCTGCGGGTTCGAGACCGGCCCTGGCAACTTGGCGAGACCGCGCCTCTACAATAAATTTTTAAAAATTGGCCGGGCTCGGTGGCTCGGCCTGTAATCCCAGCACTTTGGGAGGCCGAGGCGAGTGGATGGCCTGACCCTGCGGGTTCGAGACCGGCCCTGGCAACTTGGCGAGACCGCGCCTCTACAATAAATTTTTAAAAATTGGCCGGGCTCGGTGGCTCGGCCTGTAATCCCAGCACTTTGGGAGGCCGAGGCGAGTGGATGGCCTGACCCTGCGGGTTCGAGACCGGCCCTGGCAACTTGGCGAGACCTCATCTCTACAATAAATCAAAAAATTCGCCGGGCGTGGTAGCGCGTGCCTGTAGCTCCAGCTACCTGGAAGGCTGAGGCGGAAGGATGGCCGGAGCCCAGCAGGTCGAGGCTGCGGTGACCGGGAGCGGCCACTGCACTCCAGTCTGGGCGACAGAGTGAGACTCCAACTCAATAAATAAATAAATAGAATACAAAATACCAAGTGACTCCAATACTAAGGTAAGTGTTTTTGTGAAACCCTTATTTCACAGTTGTTTAAATGTATATACTGGCTTATAATGTGTTTTGTGTGTGTATATATATATATTTTAAAGGTGTATGTGCTTTGTGGGCAATCGTTTGAAAGCCACCTGCTGCAAATTAGCTCACACGAGCTGTAATTAGCTCAACCACCATGTGAGCTTCTATTCTTATTCTGGTTTTTTGGATGAGGAAAACAGGTTCAGCAAGATCAAGTAAAATGGAACAAGGGGAGGAGGGTGTACTTAAGCCAGAATTGTTTGATCCCAAACCCCAAGGCCTCATGGAACTCCCTAGTTCCTAGGAATGGCCTCAGGCTGGAAGCAAAGATTGCCAGGCTCTGGACCTGCTCTGCCTGTGCAGTGGACTTTCTCTTGCAGCACAGATCGGACTGTGACTCTCAGGGCTGGCTTCTTTGGGATACTTTTCATGTTGAATGCAGTTCTGCCTTTCTTTGACCTGCCTCATCAATCAGGGCAATACGGGTATTATTTATGAAATCCCACAGGTGCTCAATAAGTTTTTAGGTGTAGGTCTATACACCCAGGCTGATTTACACTTGGTGTTTAAAAAAAAAAAAAAAAAAAAAAAAAGAA